GATCGCTAGTGGAAAGATTGACCTTTATAATTTTTTACTTGCAACTTGATCGCGCGCTAATCGAACGACCATCCGTACGTATCTCGATCTATCAGCGAATCACGAATCCGAATCGTACTCGCAGGCTTTCAGCCTTTGGACACGTAGCACGAGCGTGACTCGTGTTTTTCATGATTAATTCGTAAACCGTATCACCGAGTCTTCCACGTTCTTATCAAGCGAATCTAATTAATTAAGATGTCCAGAGGCTTAATATCTAGAATTCCTCCTCGATCACGTACAAATACTTAAGCCTTGTGATTGAAGCGAATGCGTTCTAACGAGCTCTCTCTCAGTGATAAAGAAGAAATCTGCAAATCAAAGTGCGTACACTCATAATAAATATTTAATTCCTTCGATAATCCTCAAAGTTCGCGACATATTCTCTGCAATTTTAAGCCCACTCTGTCCAGTCTAAGTTTCAAAATTCAGTAGCAATTGCGGCAAAATCTCCAGCAAAACCTAAAATGTCCTCGAAGCTATACACAATGTTGCGTGAAGCTTGAGAAATATCGATCCAAATCTGACGTCTCCGCCAGAGGCCAAAGAGAAAATGTAAAAAATTGCGCGATTACTTGGTATCGATCTTTACGGCAGGCTTTACCATCCAATGAAATTTCAAAGCAAAGGAAACGATGCTCGATAAGAGCAATGCGGCCGACCGCGGTCCAGTGTCTGGCCACCTATACGTATATATATACGTAACAGAATTGTTCGCCGTTAAAAACGGCTATTAATCATCGGGGAACGAAAGAACTCGGCCGAAGAAGGATAATGCAATAACAACTCACTAGAACACGATAGGGCCGCGGCGATAAGAGCTCGCGCTCGCGCGCGCGGATGATTGCATCGTGGCTCGGTGCCTCCCGGAGATCGAGACAAATGATACCACCGCGTTATCTCATTATGCGGAAGGCTAATTTAAGCGATACGTTCTGAAAACTCTGGCCCGATAAATCGACGTTACCAAGAGGCCAGTAATTACCAGTAATACGCGCGATTACTCGAGGCCGATTGTCGACTCGCGTCGGATAATTGGATCGGAATGTCCGTCGTCCCGCAGAATAATTAACGTCTGACACGCATCCGCGATCACCGTGCCGATTATCAAGAAACGCGGCCTGATCGACCGGACGCAGATCGAGAAATTACAAGTCTCGGAGAATACCGATCGTCCGGTTCGTCAGTTTTCTGAACGGTTTGACAGAGTAAAAAAATGACGATTTAACGCGGCAGTTCAAAAGATTGTTCAAGTTAGGTTCAATGTGAAATTTAAACTCATTGTTAACACGTTCCGTGCCGAGCCGATTTTTGGTTTACTTTCCTTTTAGGCCGCGTCGAGCGTATACATTAATAATTTTGCTTCTGAACTATGTCTTTTACAAGTTTTATACCAGTGTAAAAATTATCAAGAAAAGTATCTGGAGTTTAAGATATGCATTACAGAGCAGTAAATTCTTAACAAACAATGTTTTCATAATGTCGAAATTAATTTAAAATAGAAGATTTTGTTCAAAATTTCCAAATCCATTTTTAGTATTATTGTTTATGTACTAAATAATAATAAGTAATATTAAATAATAATAATTTACTATATAAATTATATAATACTATTAAATACTAATAAGTGATATTTTCTTTAACTTTTCATTTTATAGCGTTTTGTTACTGAATTCAGCTGATCTTAACAGACAGTCGGAGAAAATGATCGTTTACGCCCCACAGGATAAACGCGGATATGTCAAAATTCTTCGTTTCACAATGAGAATTCCAAACGACTTGAATGGGAAGTCATCTTTTTACTGTGGACGTGTGAATGAAGATTCAATCGACAGATGAACGCATCGAGAAATTAGAAATTTGTAAGAAACTCGATCGTAAGATTTTACAATTCACTGGTGATTTTCTTGTAACTTCGTGGCTCCATAATTTTCCTTGTTACATTGTAGTTGATCTCTTCTAACGGCATGCACTTAAGATGATCCGGCACTGGGAAGTATTGTTATGAATTTTCTAC